GTTCCTGTGTCAAAACTGACTAGTGGAAAGTGAATTTAAGGCTCCTTACTTTTATTGAGGACTGCGTTCTTTTGTCAGCAGATTTTTTTAAAAAAGAAAATGGTTTCAGACTTTAGTTCCCAAGGGTATAAATTGAAGGGCTTGACTTTGTTACGGTGTGCAGTAGGCCTTTAAAATCCACTGCAGTTCAATGATTTTTCTCCACCGTCTCCATGACAACAGAACGATTGGTGCAGGTATTCGGTGACGGCTCAGCTGCACATTTTGAACGAGGCAAACCTCTTTCTTTGCAGCTGAAGGTAGTCTTCAAGAGGGATTCATGGAACAATCTAGATTTTGGGAGGGAAATTGTATTTTTTTAGGTTTGTGCTGATAACAATCACATTTTCCGTATACGAATCTGTGTATACAGATAAATTAATATGTAATCACGACAAACTTTTGCCACATGTGAAACACACGTGAAACTTTGGTAATTAGCAGCTAGCTAATCCAAAGATCTTGTCCAGCTGTTTCTTGAAAGAAGCCATGGTATCAGCTAGAAACAACATGGCTGGGTAACTTGTTCAGTAGTCCCACAACCGATTGGGACCTCCCGGACTTGAATGCACTTCAGCATAGTTACCACTTGTGTCCTCGGCTTCTTGTCTCCCTGACCATTCTGAAGAAACTAGCTTGGTTGAATTTTGTCATTCATTGCCCTTGAAGCTGCCAAAATATTTTGAAAGTAGTGCGTACAGATATTTCCAATGCAATACTTGTTTATCCTTAAAGATATTTCTCTCTAGTTTCTTCTTCAGATGATCATGAAATCTTCCCTTATTTTTATCTTTATGTTCGTTTTCCTGTACTACAAGCTGCAAAAAAGTCTTGTTTAATTTGATAGATGTAGGAGTTCAGTAATTTATCCTTGGGGGATATTTGGCAGAATGGTATGGATGAACGAGCCACATATCACTCTTGAGTGCACAAGGAGGATGAGAAAAATCATTGAAATGTTTCAACAACATTTTATGCCCTACTCGCATCTCTGTTTTAAATGAGATGGAGCACAGACAAGTGCCAAATTTTTTAAATTCCAAATTGATAAATTCCAAAGTTTTGCACAACTCACCCCAGAAACACATTTACTGTAAGCAGTGTAGTTGTTCTTTATGGTGTGTTTTTTCTGGAATGTTCTTAGCTTTATTATTACAACACAATGTTGGATTTCCTGACTTGTTTAGAGGCAGTAAATTGAGTTTTGTCTTTCTCCCCCCTAATAGCTAGATAAAGGATATAGCCGTAAGGTCACAGTCAAGGAATTTTCTTACTAGACAAAAGCAACAGAGAGTCAAATAATGTAAGTAAATACAAGAGCATATTGAAACTTATTTCTAAGAAATAATCTAGTCCTGATATTTTGAGAAAAAAGAAGAGCGTACTTGTACATTGTTTATAAATGTTTAGTTCCCTCAGAAAATAATATAAGGACGATTACAAACAGGGGACCATTCAGTGCTCTACCTATTTGGTAGTTAGTAGCTAATTGATCTTAGGACCGCTGAAGATATCGGCTTCAGAAACATGGTTGCGTACCCTGTTCGTTACTCCCACAACCCAAATACTATGCTTCACAGATTGTACATTACATAAGTTACATCATAAGACCCAAATTCACAATTAAGACTGGCTGTGGAATTTACACGAAATATAACATCTATAAGCATTAGAAAACATTGTGAGTATTTGTTAAATAAAGCATCGGAAATGCTCTCTTATTTTTTTTAACACTACAGTATATTTATACTTTTTTGATGGTAATATTCCTGCTAGAGTTAATTGATGTATGTTTTTTGGGTTGTTCCTGAAGGCTTGTATACTTAAACATTCTGCATTAGCTCTGCACATGGCTGTGCAACAATTCTAAGTATGTCACAGAAAAACAGATTAGTTTCCTGCTTTGTGAAGAGTGCAGCCAGAGTGTGACCTGAAAGTTCCTAAGAAATGGGATTAATTGAGGATGAAATTAATTGGTTTCCCCTCCCCCAACCATTTTTTTTTGTTTGCCAAAGGCAGTTGTTACCTTACCACATACCAGGCACCACCACAAATGTTTTTAAGTAACATTTACATTTTAATTCTGCCTCACTCCTTCACTATTTCTGTGCTCCAGTTATCCTTGATGGAGAAAGTTTTTTTTATATTTTATCTTAGGCTCTGAGCAGACTAAGGTTCTCAATCCAGATATTCTCGATTTAAATCCAGGCTGTTTCGTTTGTAGCTAGGTGTATCCAGGGATGGGCTCACAGTGGCTCGTGGCTGGCTCTGTGGTTATCCTCCGCTCAGTGTGGAGGGAGAAAGGTGACCTGACTATGTTTTGGGGTGTGCAGATTTGAGATCTTTATTTTTTCCTGTGCAGGTATGGAGGTTATACAAGGATTTAGTGTACAGTTGATTTGTTGTGGCTATTCACAAATTGTAAAAACAAACTTTATACAACTGTGAATTTCCAATACTCTTATGGGCTACATTTTGTTCCAAACAGACCAAATGATAGAAATGAATAAATAACTAACATTGTATTGTTTTACACTTAACACCAGTGGCAGTAACAGCATTTTACACTCAGAAATTTGCCAAAGGCTTTTATCGTCTGTCTTTATGTAACATCTGTTCTGGTAGAGTGGTTTCTCTTCTAGGCTGTCTCAGTTTCCATTGTTCATCAGATTCTGTACTGCTGAAAGCCATTGTCCATCTTCAGTGTTGGTGATGGTCATTAGGAAATTGTGCAGTATATTTATCTTCCATTGCTCAAAAACACATGAGTAAAGGGTTTCCAAATAAATAGAATCCTTGTGCAACTGTTTTTTTTATTTTTTTAGTAAAAGTTAATTATGACTGTGCAGTAAAGGGCCTAATTTCATGCCCTGTATATATCATGCTCTTATTTAGTCTGAACTGGTAAAGGTATTTGCTAAATGCCGTATATGGATAAAGTTAACAAGCGCATTTGGTTAGATTAAGGCAATATCGACAGGCAATTGTTCATATGACCCTTATTTCCCTTGAACCCCAAGGAAAGGGAAAGTCCAAACCTGTCAGCGGTATTTTAGGTTTCATGATGGTAAGCAGCGGTCTTCTCCTGATATTGCATTATTTTTCTGTTCATTTGAAGCTGACGGGGCCTACTGCCAGTGACATATTTCAGTATGGGTTTATTTGCATCTTGAGGCCGTTTTTCACACTGAGTAATGCAGAGCCTTGGTGAGACCATACTGGTCCCAGCTCTGCCTGACTTAATCCTCAGTGGACCTCTTCTGCTCCTTAATCTAGAGGCACGCTGTCATTTTCTGCACATTTTTGAAAACAGCCACATAACTGCATTCCATTCACAGCAGAGCGCCATCTGTAGAAATGTAATTAGATTCCTCCAGTGTGCTAGTTCTATCATTCTGCTGTCTTGTATTTCCACTGAATGTGTAAGTTGTGCCTGTACCATCCTCTCCAATAAGGAGTTATAAAAAACAGCTACCAGGTAAACCTTGCAGAACAAGTATAGAGATTATGTTCTGAAAAGTGTTGAGGTAGCTTGAATATACAGTAAATAATACCTCCCCATGTTCAAACTTTTTTTTTCTTGTTTTGGTTTAGTCTCATGAAATTCTAAATTATTTAGATTCCATTTTTAAGAGTAAGTAAATACACATGGAAATTTTGAAGGGTAATCATAGCTGCTAACAAGTTTAATGTTCCCTTGATAGAATTAGACTAGTTACTTTAAAATGACCAGGAAAGGCAATTCATTTCAAATCACTTCTTACTGTTTTAAATAGCCATTCCTGAAGGCGTGGTGCCTCCTGGGATGCTTTTTATGGACTGTTTCCCAGCTGTGCCAAAACAAAGCCAACATCATAATCGCAGTGAGGGAGCCTGCTGGCCCCTGACTTACAAAAGAAAGGCACTCTCTTTTTTTCTCATCTGGTGTGTACATTTTTTTATGCTCATGGTTATCCAGCCTACCAGACAGGGCTGTGACAGGATTCCACTAGACATCCTGGTGCAAAGCATGCTTGCATTGCTTCCAGTAGTAGCCACACAAGCGACTAGCCTGTGACCTTTACAGCTGAGCTCCTGTTGATCCACCTTGTTAATGGTAAATGTAAGTCAGCACAATTCAGTTATCTGTCATATCTGTTCAACAAAATGTTAGTGTACCAGCTGCAAAACCCATGGTCATTTTCCTGATAGCTTTATAAGTTCAATGGAGTTAAAAGTGGTAAGTTACCCTGATGCTCAGTTTATATACTCCATATATAATATGTATATTATGTAATCCTTCCTGGTGTCTTTTATTTTATACTTTGCCACACTTTGTCTTTGTCACACTGTCAGATGCTGCTTTAAGGAATGTGTTTTAATGGAAAACACTAGTTCAGTAAAAAGCAATTAAATTGACATCAATTTCGGAGTAGCGAGTAAGACATCAAAATGCTATAAATTTTTCTAAAAATTATCATCATTCCTTCACAATGAACAGAGTGAACACTATGTGTGCAAGTAAGATGATTTTGCACGTACGGAATAAATTATGAGCTCATGTTTTCCAAATCAACATGTGATTTTTATTTCAGCTGGAAAATTGCATGCGTGTTGAAGTTCTTTGTGTTCAGCATCATTGGTTTTAATCTTCATTATTTTCTAACCCTGGCATCTGAATGGTTTCTGAAAGAAAATAACTGTTCGTAAGGCAATGGAGTATTATTAACCAGAAGATAAGTAATCGTCAATCAAACAAGAATGTGGTATGTATAGAGGATGGCTGTAGTCTTAGATATGGTTTTAGATGAAGTATTGAAAATAATAGAGTAGGACTGGGGGAAAAATAATCTTGCCAGTTAAATACCAAGGAGGAACCTGTGGGTTCTCTTGTATGACAGGGAAGCAGACACTGGGTCCATCAGAGATGAGAGCTGAAATGTTAGAACAGTATTGATTGTTGATTTCACTTGTTTTTTCAGATCCTCATATCAAAGTTTGTGGAAAGAAGGACAATGTCAAGGAGGCAAAAGAAAAAATAATGTCTGTCCTTGATACAAAGGTGAGTCTGGGGTGGGGGGGAGGTAAAGCAACAATATTTCTTTGTGTAACAGGTAGAAAGGCTCTAGTAGTTGTCAGTGATGTTTGGACTAGAATGCATTTCCTAATTGTCTAGATGGACCAAATGGCCTCTTTCATTTGTAACTATTCTTATGCTTATACAGTATACAGTGTATATATATAATACATATACAGTATACTCTTATAGACTTCTCACTCTGTGCGTCACAGAAATGTAAAAACATACTGTAGATACTTGTTCTAGATATAGTTTGCATTGCAGGAGAAATTTGGGATATTTCTCATATTTGTTGCTACTTTTCAGTTTCACAAATTGTATGAAATGAAAGTCCCCCCAGAGGCTCATATTTACTGTACTGTTGCAGAGTAAGCAGCATAAGATGTCTTTTCTTGATTAGTTTTTCCAAAAGTAGGCTTTCCCATTGTTTTGTTTTTTAGTTGTAACCCATCCATCAGCTCAGATTTTCCTTTTCTTTTTGTGGAATAATTTCTGAACACATTTTCATGTTTTGTCTTCAACAGAGCAATCGGGTGACGCTAAAAATGGACGTCTCTCACACAGAGCACTCCCACGTCATTGGTAAAGGTGGCAATAACATCAAAAAAGTTATGGAAGACACCGGGTGCCATATACATTTTCCAGACTCCAACAGAAATAACCAGGCTGAAAAGAGCAATCAGGTCAGTCAGAAGCTTGTTGTGTTCATTTTCAGCTTGTCAACACAGTTTGCAATGAGAAAATGTTTCTTTTTGGCAGGTAGTTGCCTGTGATGTTTTTTAAAACACACATCTTCAACATTGCCTGCCATCACATGGCATTTCATTACCACATTTTCAGTGTCAGTGAGGTCATTTTGAGTGTTTTTTTAAGAGCTAAATCGATATGTATATACCATTCCCATGATACTTGAATTCTAAAGTAAGTTTTCTCTGTCTGGGGAGAGTGAAAAATACAAATGTGTAATTATGTTTGAGACGTTTCTCCCGTGCTGTGATGAAATCTGTTCTGGATTACATGTGGTTCTGGGAACTTCCATGAACAGTGTTACCCCATTCATCAGATTGTCTTGTAAATGAAGCCTGCAGTTGATAGTGATAAAAAGCGTAGTGGTGCTTAAAGGAAAGAACTTAAAAGAAAGAAAATAAAATAACATTCTGGTTTCAGCTTGTTCTAAAGATATTGATTTTATCTTTGAAGAATAACAAAACATGGAGTTTTGGTGTTTATTGTATCAAAGCATGGTGTCCAACCTTACTAGAAGCTGTGTATGAAATGGATTTTCAGCGTTAGGAACATTATTAATCTGATCTACTTAATAAACCTCTTTTTAAAATAAGTACTCATACACAAAGTCTTGTGTTCTCACAGCCCTTTTTGTTTTGTGTAACAGCTGTGACTCACATTTAGAATAGTAAATATTCCAAAAATAACTGCCACAATATGGAACATTGGTCTTTTAATTACTGTAGACTTTATGATGCTGGTAAATGTTCATGTTCTTGCACAAACGAGGATGATTAAGGACAACTGAATGGTAAAAATTGGCTTGTTTCAGACGCTAAATCATAACTAAAGTTACAGTCAGCTGGATGGCTGCTGTAGAACTGTGCAATGTGGTACAACCCCCCCCGCTGAAGTATGTCCCATGGGTCCCAAAGTCTCTTCTGGTGAAGTTCATTGCTGTGCCTTTCCTCAGGTGTCTATCGCAGGCCAGCCTGCTGGAGTGGAGGCAGCCAGAGCCAGAATCAGGGTAAGATACAGATACACCTCAGTACCTCAGACCAATCCATTGAGCTCCTCTAGGCTGGCCGGTTGGGGATTCTTTCATATAACTGGTGAAATAGAAATAGAATTTCCTTGTCATGATGTCATTTGTTTCCCTGTCTGAGTTTATAAAAGCAAAGTTAAAAAAAATTGTCTTCATTGATTTCTTTAGACTCATTTAATTACATCTGTAAGTAATTGACTTAAGAGTGGGAGGCAGGGTTCGAATACTGGGAAATGGCCCAGATTGCCTTTGTATTTACCTAAATCTCACGTCCCCATGGCGACACCAAGTGCATTTTAAGCGTTCTTGATGTAACTGAAGCATTGAGTCTGGCACTTCGTCTGTAAGTTCAGCAGTACGCTGGGGTAGTGGACTTTGTCGTAGACCCTTTCCACAGCTCCCCCTGCTGTTAATCCCTGAGTAGGTAAAGTGCCGAGGCTCCGGATAGCTCATCAACCAACGTGACTTGGAGAAAGATCTCACTCGTTTCGCCCTCTGTTTTTCAGTCATGTTAATGAAAGTGCTGTTTCATCTTCCTTTAAAACTGATCTTCTTACATTCACTCGTCATTTGGTGACCAACACCAAAAACAAAAAGTTAAAAAAGTACGTTTTGACAAAAAGTCTTACCCTTTAAGGGTAAGCTTAGCATTAGTTATGTTTTTGACTCAGTTCCTTAAGGGCGGATAGAAGAAACCAAGCCTGGGAACTGAAACTTGTTCATTCGGTCTGCCACATATGGTGCAGATCAGCGAGGGAGTTCAAACAATGTAAGCTGGAGTCCTGTGGTTTCCTTACTTCAGTGGGTGTTGCTGTTCCACTTGTGTGACTTGGTACTGTCCAGACTCTCCTTATATTTCACCATCATCAAAATTCCTAACACGTGCTTCCTCTCGGGGGCACCAAGAAAAACAAGCTGAAGTGCGCCACATTTTTTAAGTCTTTGCACCGGCAGCAGAATGTAATTAAGTTTGCGCTTTTTAACAAAAAAAAATAGTAAAAATGAACCACCGAGCCATTGTTTACAAAGTAATTTTTAAAATAAGCTCTGACAGCCACACAACCTGATTTTTACTCCAAAGTACATAAAGCTACCGATGACTGGCTCTGATCAAAGATTCGTTGCTCTCTGTCATTTGGCCTGCACCCACCATCAAGCTCAACAGTACGTAACATCTTGAGGCAGTGCGCCATTCTCTCTCTCCCCCGCATGATCATCGCAGAGGAGATTGTGTTGCACATTCCAGTCCCCACCACTGAACTGTTTTCCATTTCCACTCGGGGGAGGAGTTTTCTGGTATCACATTTTGCAGTGCCACCTAGTGGAAAGAAGAGGTAACATCAATATTTGTCTTGGTTCCCTTGCACACTGTAGTGTCGTTTGTCTTGGTGTCTGAATCTCTATGCTCTCTTGTCAGGGAGCATTCAGTCTTTTGAAGCAGAAACAAATGTGTTTTGACCACTACTCCGATTTAAGCTGTTATTGCAAAAACAGAAACTTCTGGAGTTTTTTTCGAGAAAATATGCTAAGAAGGCATATTGTACTAGTGTATGAATGCTTTTGTAAAACCTTTTTAGGGTTCCGTGTGGTAGAGTAATATGGTGATTGTAATGATATTAGGTATTTTTTATTAAACTCAATTTAAGTTTGTAAACTAGGCAGACTACCACCATTATATTAGGCTCATATATGATGACACATAATCCATTAAATTACTGACAGACGTCAGGAACTTACATTAACCAAAGTAGTGGCCTGACTCATATAATGTTCATGTATCCATTCATGCTTTTGAAATTTTCCACATAAAACGTTGCCACTGCTTGTGAACATGTGGCTCATCACATAAACTGTTCCAGTTCAAAAACTTTGTGAGCAGGTAATGCCACACTTTACAGATATTATCCCTGCATAAAGCAAGATGGCTACCTGGCTGCCATTTCCTTGCTTTTGATATGCAGCTTGTACTCACTCATTTCAAAAATTATTCGACCAGTTAACTCCAAACCCTATAAGTACATGAGTCGAAACGGCCATTGTGTTCTCTTCTCAAACTGCCTCCCTTCTTGGAACAACTGTGCCGATTTGAATTGAAACGTGCCAGATTTCAAATCTGCTGCTTGTGTCTTCTGCTGTTTGTTGTGTCCAATTGGCCAGTTCATTGCTACTTGTTAGGTGTCATTCTAGGAGCAGCACAGTTGGCAAACTGTACTGTATGGTGAAATAGTGCTTCTTCATAAACCATTATGCTGGTAGACCACCATTTTGTTAGTGACATTCAAACCTCCACTGTCTCATGAAGGCATGTGCTTGTTGGCAGACTCATCTCACTCTGACTTGCTTCAGATCGTACCTCACAGGCTGTAGCAGTATTTTGTACTTTTATATGCATGTCATACCACAGACTGCTTCTGTGCAGAAGTGTGCAGCTCAATAACTTCAGACCTGATATGTATCATTCAAATAGCCGTATGACTGACATACTTTTTGGTGAAATGGGATTAAACTTAAATGGCTCCCCAAAGTTACAATTACTATGGTCTTGGGACTCGATGCAAGTGGAGTAAGCAAGTGGTTTGGGCCTTTCTTGGAAATCTTCAACGCAACTAACAGCTTTCTAGTTTTGTTTAATTTATATTCTTCTCCTGCCATTTTTCATCAAGTAGAAAGTGAAGAAAGAAATGTGTAATGTAATATGATTAGGACGGAGGAAACGGATGAAAACGTGAACCAGAAATTATTTGCACATTACATTTAATCAAAAGAACCTTACCATTTAAAAAACGGATAGTTCTTCGGTTTACATGTGTTTAGTTTATTGGGAAAGAGAACATTTCATTTACAAGATGTAATGAATGTCATATTCCCCTTTTAAGATTATTGGCTTTAATACTTCCCGTTCAAATATTTTTTTTCCTATTCAAACCATGTTACATAGAGCCATCAGATAATATTGTGAGTACATATACATGAACTGTTAAATATTAGTTCTCAAAATGGTTATTTTCTGAAGGCCTAGTAGCTTATAAGATACCAAGTTAACCAAGTTCTGATCTAATAAGCAAAAACCTAACTTTAAAACTTAAGTTAACTTACAATTTAATTTTTAACATTATTCAATTTAATTTCTAGATTTGATTCTATGATTCTCCTTCCTTAGAAAGCAGAAAAATGTGGGGAAAATAAGTTAAATTTGGGTTATTTACTCAGGAGGTTGTGGGATTGTAGAACAAGACACCCAGTCATTTTGCTGATGCCATCCTTTCAAGAAGTGGCTGGGTAAGATCTTTTAGTTTCTTACTATCAAACTTGCTGAAAGAGCAAAGGCTTCCTCTCACTTGTCTTATTTTTTTACGTTTTTTGATCAACAGTAGAGAGGCTGCGGATTTTGTTCTTTCAGAAGTATAGACATTAGTCTGTATTCTCCACTTCTGAAACCAAAGTAAAAAATAAGTTTGCATTTTTTTCCCAGCAACAAAAGCAATTCTTGAAAACATAAAGATTAATTTAGACTTTAAATTTTCAATCCCATATGTAGGAATTTAGACTTTCACATATGGGATTGATCATAGTTACATTTTTTGGTTACAGTCATTTGGGCTGTTTACCATTTTTTCTGGCAGTCAAAGCTCAGTAAGAATGTAATGATATCAAACTAATGCACAGCGCCTAAAAAGAAATGTATATTGTCTGAACAGTGTTTAGTTACGCTGTAATGTTATGTCATTTAATTTCTTTATTTGCCTATAGTGATGTGACAAGGCTCCTTCTGTCATTTTCTTATAAAAAATATACAATTCTGTGTAAAAAGGCGGTTTGAAAGAAGTACTTCACTATGCTGAAAAAACACATAGAAGAGACATTTTGTGTAATTGTTGTTTTTCTCAGACAGTATTTATCCCAAGTTTAGTGCTGCTTTCAAGAATCAATTTTGTTTGTATTCACAAAAAATAGAATATACTGTAAATATACTATAAGAATATACTATTCTGTCAGCTTTAAAATATTTTTTTCAGGGTTTATGCATATGTTAATGAGAAACAGAAATCTTTAGTAGAAATAGCCCTTTAAGTAAGAATCAAATACAGTATCTACAGTGCCTTGCGAAAGTATTCGGCCCCCTTGAACTTTTCAACCTTTTGCCACATTTCAGGCTTCAAACATAAAGGTATAAATTTTTTATTTTATGTGAAGAATCACCAACAAGTGGGACACAATTGTGAAGTGGAACGAAATCTATTGGATTTTTGAAACTTTTTT